GGGGGGGGGGAAAGAGGGAGCTATCTAAGACTACGAAAATGTTAGTCTAGCTCGAGTTTCCTTGTGAAGAATGGGATCAGTCTAGTATTAGTGCTTATTAGTTTGAGCCGGATGTATAAACGTAGGTGCTATAGATGAGCTCAAACATAAAGACTAGGGTGAAATTTTTGTGTTCTAGGAAACGACAAGGTTAAGGTCGACTTAAGGCGTGGTGGAAAGGGCGATAACTACATGCAACATAACTCGAGCGTCAACATTCCAACCTTGGAAGGTTAAGACCGGAGGATGACAGTGCTGTGCAGAATAGTGGTGCTATAGGGCAGTGGGCGGCCAAGGGGCTGGACGTCTAAAGTTACAAGGCAGGTTCATTTTTGGCGTCAATTCCACATGTTCTCATATTCTAGTTGTGATCAGAAAAATGCCAATGGTGTTCGAGCAGAAATTGGTCGAGGAATGAATTTGATTGGTTACTTTTGGGGATCCACTGGATATATAACATTGCCCCAAAAACGTGAGCTTGAGACTCACGTTAATTCCCCGATTAGGTGAATTTTGGATACCGGGAGGGACCCACAGACAGTGGGAGGAACCGCCGACGATAGGAGGAATCGTGCGTTCGCACGCCCGAATGGGTTAGTCTCGGGTAACGAGACTGTATTGCCACTCGAACGAGTGCGGTCAGAGGCTGACCGCCACCCAAAGCAGGGATTCTTGGCAAAAGACTGGCAAGACTGGTAAAATTACCCGATAGGGAGATTCTTGGCACTACGTGCCAACGCATCGTGGTAACACGTGATCATATCGATAAGATAAAAGAGGGGTGTGCCCCTCCATGTAGATGTAAATAATTATTTTGGATAGCAAAATGTATGTACGATATCGAGCAAGCTCTGTGAGCACAGAGGCATCGACGATTTCCCGGGCATCGGGTCTTTCTTCTCGAACGAGAAGAAGCTCTCCTCCTTCGTCAGTTGATACTGAGAAGCGTTTTCGCCATCGATGGGTCTTTTTGACCTATGCTCGATGTTCTCTGGAATCGAAAGATGACTTTGAGGAAGGGTTTAGCGATATGCTAAACCGGAACGGTTTCCGTCAGGCAACCTACTATGGTTGCCGTGAACATCACAAGTTTGAAGGTATTCATTACCATGTTCTTGTGAATTTGGGAAAACAACCCAACTGGAGCTATGACTATGCGCGATCGGCGTTTTCAGTGGAGGGCAACGAATGTGATTCGTTGAATTTATCTACTCGGGCGAAGCAGCGGCTTGTGCAGTTCATTGAAAATCATGTCAATTACTGTGAGAAAGAGAAGGGCGGTGATTGTTTCGGAGAGCGTCCAGAGAACTCGACTGAGAAGAAGTTGGAGCGGAAGCGACAATGGGAGGAAATCGGCATGCAGCTGACCGCACCAGCGAAGCTGGCCAAACTTAAGGAATCATTTCCCGATGTATTCCACAAATATTTCAATAGCGCGAAGTCGGATTGAGTTCGAACATCAAAATGAGGTTTTTAAACTCTTACGCCGCCAAGGAGACGGAGCGAAGGATGCAAGATATTCAATTTCCAGGAGATATACGATTTAGCTATGAATTATTGCAATAATGATTCAGTTAATGACTTATATAGTTGCTTTGTATACTCCGTATAGCACGCCATACTGCCCATATTGCCTAAAGTAGATAAGCTCAGCCCATAAACATGTGATCTACGTGTGATTGGTCAAAAATTGGGGATTTCTTTAAAAAAAAAGAAAAAAAGAAAAAAAAAAGTCTTGCCCCGCGATGCCCCTCCATAGAATGTTGTAGAGTACATGTGTAGAGTACCACATCTCAACATTTATTTAATTATAATGTTAAATAGGATCAATTAATAACAACAATAGCTAAACATATATATCATGTAGTGTATGTACCTACAACATGCGCACATAGTTTATTGCAAATCCCGAAACCAGGATCACCGAGTCCGATTCCGGAGACCTTGGGGGGCTTACTTAATTTCTACTAAGAGTCATACATGTGGACCTACTCATCCACATCTTCCCTGACTGTTTCTTCTTCAATCTGATTCAATCCTCTACACACATCAATTCAATCATGTCAATCGCAAGAGATATCCGTCCTCGTCAGGACGACGCGGCCTTCCTCGCTACCTCCCCCAGCGCCTCCTTCAACTCCCCATCCAGCCACAGCTCTGTTTTCAACCGCACAGTTCCAGTCAATGCGAAGCCCTTGAAGCCATTCGCCACGGAAGATATCAAGGTCCTGCTCCTTGAGAATGTCAACCAGACCGGTCGTGAAATCCTTTCCCAGCAAGGTTACCAGGTGGAATTCCTGAAGTCTTCCCTCTCAGAAGATCAGCTCATTGAGAAGATCCGGTGAGTTCCAATCTAATTTCTTCTTTATGACTCACGAAGCTCATGGATTGTATTCTATTGCAGTGATGTTCACGTCATCGGTATTCGCTCCAAGACCAAGCTCACCGCACGAGTCTTGAAGGAGGCAAAGAACCTCATCGTCATCGGTTGCTTCTGTATCGGTACCAACCAGGTCGATCTCCAATATGCCGCTGAACAGGGTATTGCGGTCTTCAACTCCCCCTTCAGCAACTCTCGCAGTGTTGCCGAGTTGGTCATTGGTGAGATGGTCATGCTTGCCCGTCAATTGGGCGATCGCTCCAACGAGATGCACGCTGGTACCTGGAACAAAGTGAGCAACGGTTGCTGGGAGATTCGTGGAAAGACTATCGGTATGTGATATCCTTACAACTATTCTGTCGTTTCTGGGCTGTTTAGCTGACCTCTCAGGTATCATTGGATACGGTCACATTGGTGCCCAGCTGTCCGTATTGGCCGAGGCAATGGGAATGTCCGTCATCTACTACGACGTCCTCAACATTATGTCACTGGGTACCGCTCGCCAGGTGAAGACCTTGGATGATCTTTTGGCCGAAGCCGATTTCATCACCTGCCACGTTCCCGAGATTGCCGAGACCAAGGGCATGATTGGACAGAAGCAGTTCGAGAAGATGAAGAAGGGAAGCTACCTGATCAACGCCAGCCGAGGAACCGTCGTGGATATCCCCGCTCTTATCGACGCCATGCGCAGCGGTAAGGTTGCTGGTGCCGCTCTGGATGTCTACCCCAATGAGCCTGCCGGAAACGGTGACTACTTCAACAACGATCTCAACACCTTCGGCGCTGACCTGCGCTCGCTCAAAAACCTTATCATTACCCCCCACATTGGAGGAAGTACCGAAGAGGCTCAGAAGGCTATTGGTGTCGAAGTTGCCCAGGCTCTGGTCCGATATGCTAATGAGGGTTCAACCCTGGGTGCTGTTAACATGCCCGAGGTTGTCCTCCGTTCATTGACAATGGATGAGCCTGACCACGCTCGTGTAAGTTCTCTCGTGCAGTTATCAGGGTTTGCGATGATACTGATTGTTCTTAGGTTATCTACATTCACAAGAACATTCCTGGAGTGTTGAGGAAAGGTAGAGTACATTCGATCCAAATGAAGCGATCTTTTAACTAACAATGACACAGTCAACGAGATTATTGGTGACCACAACGTCGACAAGCAGATGACCGATAGCAGAGGCGATGTAAGTCTATCCGTGCTGTTCATATAAAAAAAAAGAACACAGTAGAAACTAACTGTCAATAGGTTGCCTACCTGATGGCCGATATCAGCAATGTTGACGCTGCCACCATCAAGGATTTGTATACCAGACTCGAGAGCCTTCCTTGTAAGATCATATCATTTCTCTCTCGTATGAACTCCAGACTAACACCGCTCCAGCTCGCATCATGACCCGCGTGTTGTACTAAACAACCGACCCCAAAAACAAGCTAGCCTCCGGGCTGTGATGCTTTAATCAACTTAAAATAGATGAGCCCCCACACGGCTTAATCTCAATTGCAATGGGACACTCTCAACGAGGTCCTGGGAGACTAAAAGATTGCAATTGCCAACTCATTAGTATATAGAGTTGGATACGACTGATGTAAAAGCGGTTGAGTGTATATTTTGTGAATACCATGCACCATTTACTAGAGAAAAGCTATGAATAGTTTCGTTTTCAATTCCATTTTCATCTGCCATCTGTCATCTACACGGATAGACTGACTAAGTAGAATGCATTAAGTGAGAACATCGCTGGACATAATGACCCTAGCCTCGACTCCCGTCTCTGAAGCCGGGACTCCGGCTCCTTCTTCTTGATGGAGGATCCCGGCGGTAATCACGTCGACTTGTCGAGCGCCAATCGGCACTTGAATGCGAGGCATGCTCACCAGAGTCTCGCGAGCGATCGGTACCGCGGTCACTGCCGCGGTCATTGCTATTGTAATTCGGAACATAAGAGTCCAAGTTCCCTGATCTGGGTGCAGGACGACCTTGTCCAAATTGACTTCGACGATCGTCTCTCCCGTCAGTTCTGTTGGATTGCGATCCATCCCATGGCGGGTTGGTTGATACAGGAGGACGCGGGGGTAATCCGGTATCTCTTTGTGTAGGTGGGAAAGGCCCGCGGCGTTGCGGGTTTCCGTGAATTGCGTGGTGTCCATGGCCTCCGTGGGTTCCTGGTGCATTTGGTCTGCCTCCACGGGCGGCACCGGGGACGCGGCTGTGTCGGGAGTCTGGTCCACGAGAACCAGAGGTTGGCCAACCACCATTGCTTGTGTCGGAGGCGGGTGGGGGCACTGGGGGCATTGGGACCCGCTGGCTGCGGAACTTCTTTCGGTCGAGTTCGTGGGAATCTGCGAATTGGGGAATTTCGCCGGGTCGTGCTGGGAGGGGGTGGGTGGTGAAGTATGGGTGCTTCAATGCATCCATGGCGTTGATGCGTTTCCTCCAGTCTAGTCGGAGGAACTCGCTTAATAGAGAAATAGCTGCCGGGTTTAGGCTGTTACATGGTCAGTTAGGGGCCCAAGTCTTCTAGAGAAAAAAGTAACATACTCCTTGAAGAATGCATGGAGGTTCCCGCGTTTGAAGGCGAAATTTTTCACACCCTCACAACCCGGGAGTTGACTCCATCCAGGCATATTCTCCTCAGTGGGAGTGCCCACAAGATTGAATATCAGTTCTGCTTGGTTAAGATCGCTGTTTCCAGCGAGGATGGGCTTGCCCTTGAACATCTCGCCAAATACGCAGCTATAAGACATTAGAATAGGGAAAAGCCTGGCTAAAATGGATAGAAAACTCACCCAACTCCCCACAAGTCGATGGCCGTAGTGTATTTCCGTAGCTGTAGCAACAACTCTGGAGGACGGTACCATCTCGTGACAACAAGTGCTGTGTATTCTCTTTTGGAATCTCCTCCTCCTTTTCCGGGGAGTGGAGGGGCATCATCGTAAGGCCGAGCAAGACCAAAATCAGCGATTTGGAGAATTCCTCCATTGCTAATTAGCAGGTTCGCCGCTATTCATTTTGTCAGCCCAGAACTATTGTATATCAGTATTCAACACTCACCTTTCATATCACGATGTAGGATGCGGTTCTGCGACGTTGTTAGACAAATATTACAGGGATGGGTGTTTCAAGACAATCGTACTGCATGCATGAACTTGAGCCCTTCAAGGAGTTGCATCAAGTAGCATTTAATCTGTGGTTCGGTGAATTGAACTGCCGGGTTTTCCAGGAGTCCTGACAAGTCATGTTCCATGTATGGGAAGACCATGTACATGCTCGGCTTTTTCCGTCCTTCGCCTTTGCCTCGCTCAATTGACATCTCCTTGAGCTGTAGAATGTTTGGGTGGGAAAGCGCTTTCATGAGTTTGATCTCTCGGATGGCGGTAATGGGGAACTACCACCAAAGGTCAATTTATGGCAAACAAACAAACAAGGGCCAGTGGACTTACGCCTTCTTTCTCATGGTGCATTAGGATCTTTTTTAAGGCCACAATTTTGGTGTCCTTCTTAGACCTTGCTTTGTAGACCTCGCTATCAACCAGTCAGTTGGTTTCTTTCGGTGATACCGCTGCCGGACTCACCCGAATGTTCCTTCTCCAAGCTTATCGAGAAATTCATATTCACGGATGTTCGAACAACCAGGGAAACGGGCCTGGCCATTCTCGTCCTTTTCAAGCGATTTGATCTCCATGTTGACTCGTCCCTTGCGCTAGTCGCCCACTCTGTGGGGGGGAGGGAGTCGACTGTGCTAGCCAGTGATTAGGCCGAAATGGATTATCGACCGCGGTCAAGGTGTTCGGTATGCTTTGGTTTGATGTTGCGTCAAGATACACGGAGGTGGGTTCGCGAAGTCTTGGGAGACAGAGGGTTGTGGAAAGGTGTCAATGCGAATTAGCGGGTATCTTCTCGGAGAGAATCAAGTGTGTCGAATGTGTTCGAAGGCAAGTCCATATCATAGTAAAAAGCATGTGCGACGATTTCGCATTGTCCAAGGCCGTGTGTACGGAGCTCGGCCATGCAATAGGCTCAATATAAACCTGAGTAGGAACCAGCCCAGTCAAGGCACAAGTAAAATAAGAGCCAGACGACTCTCCAAAAAGAAATCAAATGATTGTTCTGCTGATTGCCCTGCCGAACAATCCAAACACTGCGCTGCGGTGGAATTCGAGTGCCGTCACGGGTCACGTGTGACCAACCTCTCCGTCTCCGTTGAACCGCAGAACCCTCCGTCTTCAGATCCGATTCAAGATTGGCGTTTTGTGATCCAACAACAGCCATTTTCAGCACACAGTACGTCTCACCTCCGTCTTCCTCTGCCCATACGAATTCCGTGGAAGCTAATTGCTTTCCAATCTGTACAGTCATGGCGGGCAACTCCTCCCACCCTATCCACATCCACCCGGTCCGACCGCTCTACCGCTTCACTGCGACTGCATTGGGCGCTAGCATGTGGTTCTTCGTAAGGATTGTCCTCTTTTGATACGGAGGATTTATACTGACAGGACTCTTCTGGGTAGCTTATGTACCGGGCCAAGAAGGATGGTGCCGCTCTGTTGGGCTGGAAGCACCCTTGGGACCACTGATCCGATTACAATCGTCAATTTCGTTTTCTTGCGCGGCCGCTTTGTCCCTTAGGGCAGCGGTGATGGTTGGGTCGCATTGCGTACTATGTACTTGGAGTGGGAAGAGAGGAACAGAGAGCCGGGTGTTGCCGAGCGCATGTCAAAAGCCACAAGTGCCAGGTTCACGATAGCCATTTACCAGCCGAATTGTATCATACCCTTTCTTTTTCAATTTTCTATGGTAATTCTATGGCCCGAATGGCCGAGGCGGAGCCTCACTAGATGAATGACTAGGTCATACTATCCAAAAACTATGACAATCTACATGTCTATATGCATTTGATAACGTACAATCTGAGTGCTTTGTGGACGTACTTTACAGGCGCAATGCCTCCAACAGCACTTTGTACATCTTGCGCTTCTTGCGGTAGTGTGGCTGCAAGCGGGCACGAGCATGTCCAAGCATCTGTGCCACGCGTGGGAATATGTTCTTCTCTGCTGTCCAAGACAGGACGAAGATCCCGGATGCCAGCGCGAGTAGCCAGAGTTTGAATACATCAGACATGAAAGTCAGTTGCATCACCTCCGACACCCAGTCAGATGGTCTGAAGAGCATATAGCCCGAGATCAGAATGTTGATGATGATCGTACATAAGTAGGGCACTAAACAGCCAGTCAGTATCTAGATGAGCAAGAAAGCGAAGTGGGTGGTGCGATTCTTACCATTCTGAGTCATTGGTTTCCGGAATGGCGGACCCGCGCTCAGAACAATACTGATGAAGATGTACTGGAAACAGGAGAACAAGAACAAAGCCGTGTTCTCCGAGTTGACAATGTTGCTTTTTTCCAAGTCTAGCTGTGGCGGCAAGAACCTGCATCGTTTGTTAGAATAATGTTGATGGTATGTCGTGACGGGTACTGACCATGGCTGTAATTGAACGGTCTCGAAGACTGCAAACTGTGACAGCACAACTAGCAAAATCTGCCCGAGCAAAGGTGTCAAGACCTTACGCGAGACAAGATCAGCAGTTGGCCGTTTCCGAGACAGCGTAGGGGATGGATCAGCCCAGCCCACTAGAAGAAGGTTAGCTCAGTGACACAAATTTAGTAAAAATAGATCACGCACTGAAGACTGCAATGGGCATAATGAGCACAAGGTCGATAAAAAGGAACTTGAAACCGTTAGCGATCCATCAAAACTGTTGGTAATATTGCCCACTTACCTGGAAATCACCAAGGTTCGACCCCGACGTATACAGGAAGCTAACCGAGCAGAACTGAATGGCGGAATAAAGACTCATGAACTTGAAGCAGGAGAAACTTGTCACCAGAGCAGCTCGACCCTCCCTAATCACCGTTGGAACACAGGAGATTTCGAATAGGCGGCTAGTAAAGGGCGCAGCAACGGACGCCTCGGCGTCTGACAATGAGATACCAACATCTGCAGCCTTCAGAGCGCCACAATCATTGGCACCGTCGCCGCAAAAGCCACAGCAGTAATCAATAGACTGAAGTTTCTCAACCAGTTCGTGCTTCTCGTCTGGGGACATACGGGCAAACACTTTGCCGCATACAAGTACCTATACCGCCCACATTAGTTCGAGGCACGGTAAAAATGGAAATAGTCAGCACATCGGCCTCTTACCTTGTTGAGTACATCTTCATTCCCGAAGTCAACCAACCACCTAAACGCATCACCCGTGACAGCAACAGAGTATTCACGCTCAATGAGAGTGTTTCCTGGAATTGACAAGTCGGTCTCTGCGGTGTTTATGGGCTGCAATTGCATTAGCTGCAAGTAATTGGATATAGGGAAAAGATATTTTACCAAAAGTGTTCTTGGGTCCAGCTGGAGGTCGGAATTGTCCACGCATTCCCATATGAGAGAAGTTTTGGATGAAAGACCAGGCGCTATGTATCGTTAGTCCTGAAATAGCCTGGATGCGGTAAACAAACCTTCAATGAAATGCGGGATAAAACACAGTTCATCGCGTCCAAGCATGTTGCATTCACGAGCAACACTGATGGCAGTCAAGATGTTATCACCGGTGCACATTACATTGCGAATACCCGCCTCGTTCAACTCAGAAATCACACCGGCAGTACTAGGTTTCAACTTATTCTCGAATATGATGAAGCCCAGGAACTCCAGGTTAGATTCGGCGTCCGTCCGCGACATTTTTTGCACTTTCATCCAGCTCAACTTCCGTTCATATTTGGAAGCGCAGGCAATCACACGGTATCCTTTGTGAGTGTAGTAATTCAGGAGATCTTCATAATCCGAAGGAACTGCAAAAGAAATATATCAGCAACGCAGGCTTATGTAGAAAGAGAGGGTACTGACGTGTTCCAGGAATACATATGTCCTTGATGCTTTCTGGGGCACCCTTGACAAAGAAATTTGCTCCATTGTCGCCAAACTTCCTGACGACGACACTTGCGCGGCGAAGATTGGAGACAAATTCGAAACTTCGCAGTACTCCAAGCTCAAGAGGATTCTGCATGATATTAGACATGAAGCCGTGGCCTGAGTGAAATCAACTCACATTTACATCCTGTTCGTCACCGGTCTGTCGTTGAGGGGGCTTCGCAACCGACGGCGCTATAGTATCGTACTTGGGGTTCGTCTGGTCGGAAACATGATTTCCTCCCTCCTCAAATGTCCAGTTGGTAAATTGGAACATCTTCACATCGAGAGGATCTCCCAACAGCTCATCGTCCACTACCCTGAGGGAATGACACGTAGCCATGACGTGCATGATCTTATTTTGCTTTTCGATATCGTATGCGGAGTTGGCATTTGGGGAAGGACGAAGAAACCCGTCAGACGTCTCAGAGAGCAACTCCGAAAATCTAGAAATTCTTCTTCAGCGCCAGCCTGAGGACAATACTTGGAAACAGACAAACCTTTTGTCACGGGTAACTATACGCGCTCCTAGCACATCCAACCCATCTTCTGTGAGAGTTCCGGTTTTATCGAAACAAACAATGTCTAGCTTTCCTCCGACGTTGACCCTGGTATCACGTATTAGCATTAATGTTAAGATACTACTCAGCTTCGGCCACTCACTTCTGTGGGCTGATGCAGAATATGTTCTGTTTCTTCAGTCGTGACAGCGCAAAATTGGTGCCAATGGTAAGTGTGGCTGGAAGAGCTGGCGGTACAACAATCGTGATCAGATCGAGGGCTCGGATTATGATCAAATGCCAAGCGAGCTGTATTTTTTTATCAGCGGCCGAAATGACATTAGGAAAATCCTCTGTCCGAGCATTGACTTACACCCAATCGAACAAAGTTGATGAATGACGCAACGAATCCGAGAAGAGCGACCATCCCCATCACGGCGATGTAGCGGAAGGAGTCCCGGTAAAATTTGAATCCAGAAGGCTTTGGGAAGAGCATCGATCGAACTAAAGCCCCTTTGGTTGTCAAAAAGCCAGTTCTCATAACAATTGCCAATGCTACTGCTTCATCGTCGTCAACATTCTGTGGTCGTCTAGCCCGGATTACTTTGGTTCCGCTGAAAAGGAAGTGTTTAGCAACATGGGGGTCGATAGAAGGGGTACTGAGATCAAGATATTGAAGGGCATCGTCGGTGAGTGGTATTTTAGACACGGGAACGGATTCACCTATTCGAGTTAGATGTATACAAAAATATCGAGGTTTTGTACGAACCAGTGAGCATGCTCTCATTCACAATACAGTCCCCTGACAACAAGATGCAGTCACACGGGACCTGGTTAAGCGATGGGTCGGAGAATTCATACACATCACCAGGAACAAGCTCTTGTGAGGAAACGGACCGCCCTTTAGATGCGATCAGTCGACATCAATCAGTAAGATGGTACATCGAAAGAACTCACAGAATCCATTTCTTAAAACCCGAACATCACACTCGAAGAGAGATATCTCCCTGAGTCGACTCATTGTCTGTCGCAGCGTTAGTTTTGGGATATTAGTCTAATTCTTGGGCTGAACGCACTGATTTCGTCTCTAGCACAGTCGTTGCTATGCTGAAAAACGATATAAGAAAGATACAGACGGCATAGTAGTAGTACTCATCCATGGACCACAGAACGAGACTTGCGATTTGGAAGATATAAAAAGGATGAAAGGCCTATACACTGTCAGATATATTGATGAAACAACCAGAAGGAAAACTGACCTCGTCGACGAGAAGCTGAGGAATTGTCTTTTGGTCAATTTCGATGGCGTTGCTTCCAAATATCTGTTCCCTGCTGTCTCGTTCGTCGGCATCCAATCCAGATCGCATGACCTTAGCATTGGTCCACGAGGGGTCTTTCCACCCATTTATCAAAGAAAATTTATCCTCGATTGGATGATAGAAGAACTTCAGATATCGATAGTCGATAAAGCGTAGAGAGGGAATAGTCGGGTCGTTATCTTCATCGTAGGTGTGTTTTAGTGAGTCAGCAAATACCGTGGAAAGCGGGCGTCCATAAGGTTGGCTGCCAACTTCATGGATGGTGAATTGGTTCCATTGGTCCTATCATGGGTTAGATGGTTATTGTTTGTGATAGAAAGCTCACAATCTCACCTCTATGGCCACCCATTGACATTTCCCTATCGGGGTTGCCTTCCCAATCAACTTTACCCGCCATCGTGGCAGCCATCGGAAGAGAAGCCAGGCAAATCCACCGGTCAAAATGCAAAGGGCAATATAAACAGCAAATCCTCCCGAACTCGTGGAAAATCCAGCAAAGACAGCTGTCAAGTCCTCCGAGGCAATATAGACTTTTTGATTCAACCGACTACCGGTTCGTCGGTCTCGGCCATACGAGCTAGCCGACAGGTAGCGAGAAAGAAGTGGATGTTCAATCGAGTCGCGAGAGGTAGACATCCGCTTAGACACAAAGGATCCCCTGGCTGACTCGAGATCTGCATCCCCAATCCCATGTAGAGATTCCGCATCAATCTCGCTTTGATCATCCACTGCATCTTCGGTCGACCATTCTGCAAAGTCTTCCCCGTCCTGGAAGTATGTAAAGCTCACCGTAGA